TTTAATATCCTATCCTATACTTTTTATTATCCTATTTGATGTCCTGCTTTTGTGATTTATTTATAGTCTTAGCATAAGCAGTATAAGAAATTCAGGAAAAACTAATATAGTCACTGCGGTAAAAGAACAATACCACGCTTGATTTTACCACCCAAAATAATTGCTTAAATAATTTAGTCTATAGTTTTCATAATTTCGTACAATATAGTTGCTTATTGACAATTCTAAAGTACATTTGTCTCACTAATAATTAATAAACATTATTGTTTATGTTCAAATCTTAGGTGAATTAATTTGTAAAATCTAGTTCATATGAGCAGTCTTCAATCTTAGATCAACTTGCTGAATATTCCAAATCTAAGGCCAAGCAAATAAATTTTTGACACACATGAAACAAATTCTAAATCATTTTTTTAATAAGTAGAAATATTTTTTGTATTGTTAAATAATTTAGTAAAGTAAACCAAAATGCGACATGCATAAGTTGAAAAAAATGATGAATATGTAATGTTGGACTCATTGCGTTATTTTTTAAACTCAATTATATAATTTCTTTTGCCAAACATATATAACTTAATAATATATAATATTCAATGTCAAACAATGATATGTTTTTTTTGTATTTATTTCTATTTATTTCCACAATATTACTATAGTTTTATCGTTCATTAGATCCTTAAAAAACGATTTTTAAACGAACTTTAAAATAAATCCGAATAACCGTTTGGGAGGAGTATGGAATCATACACCCGTACAGAAGAATTTTATTTATATAAAATATATATATATATATATATATATATATACATTAGTTATGTTTAAAGATTGGGCGTTACATCAACAAAAAAATGTATGAATGTTTTTTTACATCCCTACGATTCGGCTAACATTCTGGCTTTGATTTAGTGGTATATACTATCAAATATAATAATAATTAAATTAAGTAAATATTTTATAACAGTTTAAGAATAAAAATAATAATAATAATAAACTAATCTAAAAGAGAGAGAAAGGGAAATAGCAAACTGGGTACGGTTGTGCCATGCTTTTTTATCAGTAATTATTTTGTTAATTTACAGTTAGTTGGGAGAAAAGTAAATTAAATGGTTATTTTGAACATTTGTTTACATGGAAGTACTGAAAATATTATCCTTAAATATGATGAATATTATAAAAAAAGGGCGAGTGTCACAACCGTCTACACACCAGGGACAGTAGAGAGAGGCATAGAGAGGCCATAAACGCCAAAATAGGTAAACGCCAAAATAGATTTTATTATCGGAAACGATTTTATTGTCAGAAATATGTAACGCAACACAACATAAGCATTTAAACAATGCTTATGCACATAATATAACAATATATGATTTTTTAAACAAAGCTAATAAGAAATTGTGTAAAACTTGTTTTTTCTATATTGATTTTTTTCCTTTTTCTTTTGCATTTTGTCTTATTATTCGTTAAGTATTTTATCTGTTTAATTTTCACCCAAAAAGGACAAGAAAAACATGTCACAATCGTTCTCACAAAATTAGTCACAACCGTACGCAACGCACACATTTGAAAACAAATCATCACTATGACTGAGCTAAATTATCTACGCAAAAACTAATTGCTGGAAATTAACTACTGATGTTCAAGTATTAATAAAATAATAAAAAAATTAACTACAATGTTCTTTAAAAGCAATTTGGTCTACAGATCATGTTAACGTAGTGCTCCGACTGAAAGTAATGATGTAAAGTTGTTCATACAAACACATACATCTTTTTTTCATGGACCCTTTCTCAAAATCAGTGTAGTTCAGCTGTATATATAAGCAGTTCTGTCAGGGCTAGTGCCGAGGGCGGCAAATTTTCTGGGACGGAAAAATTTGGAGAGTGAGAAAAAAATGTTCAGAAACCTTTAAAACGTAAAGATATACAAAAATTTTCATTTTGATTTTGTTGCGATTTCTGTAACTTATCCTATGGGAAGTTAAGAAGTTCGTCGAATGTGCCTGTGAAGAAAGTCCTTAATGCAAACTTTATAATTCTTTTTGTTTGAACAAATATGAATATTTTGTTACATTATTATAGTATGCAATGCATAATAAATTTTCTGCAATCATATATTTTGATTTAAAAAAATAGACATAAAAACTATTGAAGTAAATTTCAGGAATGGGACGGCATTTGTATCCTAGGGCGCCAAATTTCTAAATGCGGCCCTTGCTATAAAGAATAATATACTGAATATTAAAATATTTTAAAATGATTAACAAAAATATCATCAAGCAAAGCAATAGCCTAATATTAAACATTCACACGAAATCAATCGTATAACAAAAAAACGTGACAATAAAACAAAATAAAGTATAAAAAATTTCTCACACAAATCATTGAAAAAACTCCTTAGAAAACAAAATATTAAACTAGTGGGGTGGGTGGCATCGTGCCTTAAGGCAAATTGCTGGAACTTCCCGTACCGTAACGAAACGTTCGAGGAATATTGAATGTTTTCAAATAGATTATTATAAATATTGTAATATTGTCTAATATTTATAATAATTATATAAACTGAATTGCAGAGTTGAAATTATTTGTTTAAAGTATATTAGAACTATAGTCAGAATTAAAAATAAAATCTGAATTATTTTCGATATACAAAAAATTAAAAAAAAAAAAAAAAAAAAAAAAAAAAAAAAAAAATGGTACAAAATTTTTTTTTCCAAAATTAATTATTTTGTTAAGACAAGCAGAAAGTTCTTTGAATCAATTGAATCGGACGCTTAGTTCTCTCAAAAACTGCCATTTTTTGTACATTTAGCTCTGTATCTCCGAAATGGCTGGGCCTGCCTTTGCGAAAAACTAATAACCTTTTCTCCCAATCATTACTAATGGAATGTTTTTTAGATCATTCAAATCGGATGCTCCGTTCTCTCAAAAACTCGATTTCTATTTCTGCACTCTTTGCTCCTTATCTCCGTAACTGCTGGACCTGTCTTTGCCAAAAACTAATCAGCTCTTCTCCTTATTAATAGGAATCGAATGTTTTTTAAACCATTCAAATCGGTTGATCCGTACGCCCGAAAAACGTGGACGAAAATTTGTATCCATACATACATACACACACACACACACACACAACACACACACACATCCATTTTTTCTGAGGTATGCCAAAACGTTCAGAAACCTTCAAAACGTCGAGAAATGTAAAAATTTTCAATTCCGATTTTCGGCCCATTACAATAACTTACCCTACGGGAAGTTAAAAATAGTAGTGTATGGCATCGCGCCTTAAGGCAAATTATAATTATTATAATTATATAGATTATTATAAATACTGTAACATTTGTCTAATATTTATTTATAAGAATTATATAAACTGAATTACAAAGTTAAAGTTATTTATTTAAAGTATATAAGTGAGCTTTAAAACTTTAGCCAGAATTAAAATTGAAATCTGAATTATTTTCAATATAAAAAAAATGACAATTTTTTTTTCAAAAGCAATTGTTTTGTCAACACAAGCAGAAAGTTTTTTGAATCATTCAATTCGGGTGCTTATTTCTCTCAAAAACTGCCATTTTTTGTATCTTTGAAATGGCAGGGCCTGCCTTTGCCAAAAACTAATAACCATATCTCTCAATCATTACTAATTGAATGCATTTTAGATCATTCAAATCGGACGCTCCGCTCTCAAAAACTCGATTTGTATTTTCTGCATTCTTTGCTTCGTATCTCCGTAACTGCTGGACCTGCCTTTGTCAAAAACTAATCAGCACATCTCCCTATCAATAGAAATCGAATGTTTTTTGAAACATTCAAATCGGTTGATCCGTGCGCCCGAAAACGTGAACGAAAAATGCGGGCGCACAAAACACACACATCCATTCTTTCTGAGGCATGCTAAAATGTTCAGAAACCATTAAAGCGTGAAAATATGCAGAAATTTTCATTTTTGATTTTGGGCCCATTACTATAACAACCCTACGGGAAGTTAACTAGTGGTGTATGGCATCGTGCCTTAAGGCAAATTGCTGGAACTTCCCGTACCGTAACGAAATGTTCGGGGAATATTAAATGTTTTCAAATAGATTCTTATAAATACTCTATAACCTATATATGTTTACATCTAATTTAAAACGAAGGACATTATCTCATATTCATAAGAATTATATAAACTGAATAGCAAAGTTAAAATTATTCGTTTGAAGTATATTAGTGAGCTTTAGAACTTTTGCCAGAATTAAAATTAGCATCCGAATTATTTTCGATATTCAAAAAAAAAATTTTGAAAACTAAAATAAAAATTTAAAAGCAATTTTTTGTCAGCACAAGAAATTTTGAATCGGATGCTTAGTTCTGTCGAAAGCTGCCGTTTTTCACGTTTTGCCCGGTATCTCCAAAGCGACTGGACCTGCCTGTGCTAAAAACTAGTCAGCACATCTCCCTATCAATAGGAATCGTGGTTTCCTATCAATAGGAAACGTGGACGAAAAAATGCAGGCATAAAAAACACACACACACTTCCATTTTTTTGAAATATGCCAAAATATGCAAAAACCTTCAAAAGCAAAAAAGAATATTTTCGATTATCGGCCCATTACCATAACTACCCTACGGGAAGTTAAATATAATAATTTAGTATTTGTTTGAAGATAGAATTATTATCGCAATAATAATTATTATTGTACAAAATTACTCAAATAGTACAAAATTAAATTTTAGATTACTTAAATTATTAAATTAAATTTTTTTTTATAGTCATAATTCTCGAATTAAAAATAATTACTGTTTATATTGTTATCTGATAGTTTTACTTGTATTCAAGCTTATATTTCTTAACGAATTGTTTTATTATAATCGTTTTATTTAAACAAAATTATTCGTTACTAATTAATTTTTTCATAGTTAGCAGCACCGCTATTTGACAGTTTTTGTGTCAATAACTTCAAGGTGGTCTCTGTTGTTGGCGACCATGAAGATAATTGCTCCGCTGAAAATCAACGCTGAAAAGAGATTACTGTTTGGTATGTTTATATCGCTCAACATTTGTTTACTTTTTAGTGTAACGATTTGTTATTTATTTGCTGATGATTTTTAAAATTTTAATATAATAGCATTTTAAATATGTCAAAACAGTCTAAAAAGGCGGTTGAATATAAATTAAACGATTTAGTATTTGCAAGAGTTCGAGGTTATCCTCCTTGGCCCGCTAGAGTAAGTTAAAAATCTATCTTTAATATCAACATTAATATCCTAATAAAGTTAGTTTCAATCTTAGATCGTAGAAACAGGTCTAAAATATAAAGTTATCTTTTATGGAACAGCCGAAACGTAAGTTTTCAATGTCATAATTTAACTCACGTCAACATTGTTGTCATTATAAATAATTCCATTTCAGAGGATATATTAAAATAGAAGATTTATTTAACTATGAAGAAAATCGTGAATCTTTTAAGAAAAAGTTTGCGAAAAGAAAAAATTATCAATTATCTCTGAATGAAATTACAGTTGCATGGAACAGAAGACAGGTGTTACAAGACTTTTTACCAAAGGTCAGTACAATGAAAAATAAATATTATTATCAAATATATTTTATACAAGTGCAATTGTTATTTTTCTAGTCCAACTCTGTTCTTGATACTGATGTTAAGGATGTGAAAGAAACAAAAGTAATTGAAAACAAAAAACAGATTGCGCAAAGGGAAGATGCTATAAAACCTATAAAACCAGATCAAATTCATCAACTCAGTAATGCTAAAAACTCACTGAAAAAAGAGGTGAATACTTGATATATTTGTTGATCTCTGTTTCATCATTTTTAATTGGTAACTACTACAGAAAGTTATTACCTGTATTTCATGAATAGTATACTTTATTATGTGCTGAACTAGTAATACAATCTTGATCAATCATATTAAACTAATTCTATTCACAATATAAAAATATTTGTAGGAGGAGCCAAAACCAAGTACTTCACAGAGCAATAATAAGAAAAGGTATATGGAAATAATAAATTAGTTACTGCGTTTAGATGAACCTAATCATAATTCTTATCAACAAGGACTCGCACCGATTCAGAATCTTCAGTTCCTTCAAAGCGACCCAAAGTGCAACATTTGAGAGATTTACTAGATGACTCATACTTACAAGGCACTATATTAAAGTTTGAAAGAAAAGGAATTCTTTACACAATGTATTCAATAGCAGAACTTCAAAAGATAAAGGCTAAGGTAATTGAAATACTTATATTTAAGTATAACAATAGTTTTTTATTAAATCATAGACAATTTTTTTTGTGTTTGAGTATAAGAAATTATACTTTCCAAAACACTGAATTGATTTATTTTGTTATGTTTGAGGACTTGTCTCATTAAATTGCTGCCATTATTATTAATCTCTGTTTAAACTATAATATAGAAATATATAATATGCACATTATACATATATTATTTTTATTTCAGCATGAAGAGATCTTGAGTATGAAGGAAAATGACAATTTTAATGCAGGTTTATATTTATATTTATATTATATATATATATATATATATATATATATATATATATATATATATATAATATAATATAAAAGTAATTAATATAAAATTGAATAAATTGTAGAAGAACAATTTCTTTTCAGATACTTATGAATTCATTTGCGATTATTCTGTGGCATTAGTGTATGAACCAATAATTCATCCTGTAGTTTTTGGATTGCACATAACTAAACATAGACCTGACGAATTTGATGGCCCACTGGCCAGACTTGAATGGGAATCGGGAATGATCCAAGATGTGAATCATATCATTTTAGACTTAAGTATGTTTTGACAATAGTAAATGCATGCAAAAAAGTAATGAAGATAAAAGGAATTGGATATGTGAGTTTGCTTGACCTGACGAATTTGATGGCCCACTGGCCAGACTTGAATGGGAATCGGGAATGATCCAAGATGTGAATCATATCATTTTAGACTTAAGTATGTTTTGACAATAGTAAATGCATGCAAAAAAGTAATGAAGATAAAAGGAATTGGATATGTGAGTTTGCTTGTGCAGTATGATTTTCTTACATCATTTTTATATATGCTGTATGATAATTTTTGCATTATCTTATAATGTTGTTACTAGAGTAACTTTAGGAATATTTCTAACACAAATCGGCAAATATAAGTAAACACAGTATATACAACAATTCTCAGGGACCACTGTAAAAGCTTATCTTAAGGGACAATATGTTTTGAAGAATAGGTACTTGCGTAATGCAGTATTTTATGCAAATTGTTTTAAGCCTGTTTGTCTTAACGTAGTTGTAGAAAATCCTGAATTCTTTAGTTTGTGGTGGTGTATATCAAACAATAAATCCAAATAATATTAAATTTGATAAAAATTATGACGTTTTGGATAAAGATATTTCATCATCAGACTTTTGTCAAAATTAAAATACAGATATAATAAACAAGAATACAAATTCAGAAATATTAAAGTTTAGATTATTAAGATTATATAACAACATTGTGTAAACTGTGGAACCGAAACCCTAAATAAGATTTCTAAGACCACAGTTAAGAATAGTGTTCAAATTGCTCCAAGTTTTCAAGAAGACTTATTGTTGAACAATAAATTAAGAATTTTCAAAATTGATAGACTTTGAAAGGCCGTTCTTTAAAAAAATGTACTAAGGTGCCTTGGTAAGTTCCATTAAAAGTTCATACGTTTAGTCTGGATTGCAAAATGGTACAATGCTTCTTAGTTTCATACTGACAAAACTAGTAAAAAAAACAAAAATTTAGAAATAACACAAAGTTTGCTAATGAATTTCACTCATAATTACTTCAAGAAATTATGTATATATATATATATATTAGGGTGGTCCTTAAAATGGTCATTTTCGAATTTCCTTGCTCCCATGGGCTCAAATAGTTCCAAATAGGTAAAAAACAATTCTCTGAAAGTTTTAGCTCTTAATATTAACGTTTAGATAGAGCGCAATTCAATCAAAGTTTGTATGGAAAGAGCATGGAAAAAAATTTGAAAATTAAAAAAACATGTTTTAGGTGTAACTTAGCGACAAATGAATGAGTTTTATTCATTCATTTGTTCGCTAAATTACATCTAAAACACATTTTTAAAATTTTTGAAAATTTTTCCGTGCTATTTCCATACAAAACTTTGATTGAATTGCGCTCTATCTAAACGTTAATATTAAGAGCTAAAACTTTCAGAGAAGTGTTTTTTATCTATTTGGAACCATTTGGGCCCCTGGGAGCAAGGAAATTCGAAAATGATCATTTTAAGGACCACCTTAATATATATATATATATATATATATATATATATATATATATATGCATATGTGTCCCATTTGCTGCCATGCCTAGTTTTGAAATATAGTTTTATTATTTTTTGAGACTAATTTTAATTGTAAACCTATGTGCCTATAATTATTTTATTATTATTTTTTTTTTGACAATGTCTTTTGTTATATGAGTTTTATTTTGCAGGGAATACCTGTAAAAATATTCAGGAAGTTGTTGATGACTATTTTTTGGATTTAACTGACTTTGAAGAATTGATGGGAACATTAAAAATTATTTGTGACACAGGTAATAAAATTATTGGTATGCATGTTAAACACATTGTTTGTAAATATATCAATTTTCTTTATAGAGAAGTTCACAGATGTTCAAAGAGAAGCTATAAAGCGAGAGCTTGATATTTTAAAAATAGTTTTGTCTATTCGTGAAAATGTCCCTATTGAGATGAAAGATGAAAATCATTTGACAAAGGCCTATGAACTATTAAAGCTTATTCGGGGTATGTTTTCCAATTGTTAAAATTTGTAACTGACTTTTTATGTTGTATTTTTATTCGCTCTATCTTCTTTTAAGCTAACTACATGCCTGATTATATGCCTGTTATGAAACATCCTGTAATAGTTGAGTGTTTTTTTAAATTGACTAAATATTCATGTAAATATGAATTAGATAATAAAGAAATCATTGACGATATTAAAAAGGAAGCAGCAGCCATACTACACGATATTAAGCAAACTTTGAAGGTAAAGGCTTTAAATTTTGTGTATGATAAATTTGTGATTGATCTTAATAATTGATTTAATCAATTTATACCTTTCATTACTAATTTTCTGATATACAGAAATGATCTTTGAAGTATTACATTTTTAATATTTGTGCACTTGATGACATGAAATATTATCCAATACAATATTTTGATTTTTAGGTACATATTAATTTTTTCATCTTTTTGTATTGCTTTATGTGTAACTAAAGTAATTATCTGCCAACATGTTTATATTCACAGTTACATATGCAAGACGAAGATTTTAACACATCTTTTTGGAAGACCTATTTATCCTGTTTAAAGCAATTTCGTTCTGCACTTGCCTCTGTATGTCGGTATGATTTTATTGCTTTAACTTCTATAGAAGGTAAATATATTTTAGTTTAAATTTGAGAGAAATTAAATAGTTTATTAATTTTTATTTTAAACACAAATTTACAAATTGAACTTGAATTTGGTTTGTTATGCATGATTTTTGATATATCATTATTATTATTTTACCATGCATTTATGTCATAGAGTATGAAAAGAAACTGAAAGAAGAAAGTACTATTCAACAGAATCATGTTAATAAATGTCTGACACGAGATAGTGGCGAAGGTAAGCAATCTCTTTTATTTATTTGAACATTGATGTATATTTAAGGAATTTACTAATTTGCAGATAGTATAGATAAACACAGTCATACAGCAGCAGATATTCATAATGTAGATAATCAATGTGAAGAAACAAAAATATGACAAACGAAGTCATAAACCAATGCCCCTCCATACTTTATTTACTATTTTTTTACTAACGTATGGAATTAATAGCAAAAAAAAAAAAAAAAAAATATTAGACACATTTTACATGTTATATACAAACTTAACAATTTTATGAAATTTGTATCCTTATATTTATATTTGGTGATTTTGTTTTAATTTTATTTATATCATTCCTTAACTTATAAATTTGTTGTTTTGTCATTTTAAAATATATTTTTTATCAAAGACTGAAAGTTTAATTAATTATTAACATTTTCATACCGTTTTTGCTTGCAGCAGAACTTTTACTATAGGTGTGACATTTAATGCTTCTGATGTTTGTATAATTATCTATACCTTATTTGTTTATCTTATACCTTTAATTTCGACATCGTAATGTTTTTAAAATATCACTGAATAAATAAAATGAATAATAAAAGATATATTGTTTGGAAACATACAGTACACGGGCGGCTGCGTGAACGATGCAGCCAATCGAAACTTTATTTTGTCAAATAATATTACATTGAACAAATAGCTCAAAATATTACGGTTCGTTTAAAATAATCGAAATAGTCTCAAAATTACATTGATAATACTGTCTTAATCGTGTTTGACACCGCCGTTGGCTACGGCAGCAGTTCTTGCACCCGCCTGCTCTCGTCGGCTAATTTGGAACCAGACTACGAGTCGTCCAGCAAGCATGAACAAAAATACCAGAGCAGGCGCTGAGCGTTCGAAAGGATCACTCACCATGTGATGCGAATATACAGCGAGACACATCAATGCTAATAGAATTCCGTTCGCAGAATTTTTAATCAAATCTACAAAGAAATAAAAGTTAAATTAGTTATATTAACAGCACATAATATATTTTAAGTATTAATAGTATTGATTTTTTTTTTTTTAAAGTCCCAAGATATATTGCTTATATATGATATATCATGTATATATATTATATATATATATACACATATGTGTATATATATACATATGTGTATATATATACATATGTATATGTATACACATGTGTATATATACATGTGTATATATATACATGTGTATATATATACACATATATGTGTATATATACATATATATATATATACATATTTGTGTGTGTTTTGCTAATTGATTCTGAACCGTCGTAAACAAGAGATTGTACTCAAGTTAGATATGATCATTTGTTTAAAACTAAATAATAATATACAATTGAAACGGTAACAAATTCAAATAAAGTTTAAAGTACGGATGAGCTCTGCACATGCAAAGGAGTTCGTTGAAATGATATTTTCTCTGTTTAATTTTAGTTAATGTTTAATTCTAACCATTTTTTTTTTTCATTTACGAAAAGTCTACGTCAAAATTGTATCTTTGCTATTGCTTGTTACCTTATATATTAGTTAGGAAGGAGAAAAATGCTGAATGAAAAAATTTCAGATGTAATTTTGAAACTTTGAACTTCTATTTGCAAACTTACGAAAAATATAATTGTTTTTATTTTGTAATTTTAGTGATATAGACCATTCCGTGCAACGACTTTATTCGCGTAAAAATTGACTCTCACCCATTATATAAATATTATTATATTGTCTGGGCTCTCACCACTCTGAAATGCGTTTTGATTCAACATTAAGCATGGTATTGACTACTTATTCAATTTAGTTTATCCACATATTTAGTTGATTAGATTAATATATTATAATCTATAATATAATATAATCTATATTATTATTTCAATTATTGAAACTTACTATAGTTAGGCAACCTACAGTTCAAATTAACTTTCTAAAAAAGAAGTTTGTTTTCGTCGGAAAACCGGATTCGCTTACTTTATTCCTTTGAAAATGCTTCAAATCGTTTGGCAGAAACATTGAAAAAATATTCACGATTGCACATAAATATACTTCTTTTATTTGTTCGCTTTTTTTAACTTCCCGCAGGGTAAGTTATAGTAATCACAAAAAAATAAAAAATGAAAATTTTTATATATTTTTACGTTTCAGAGGTTTCTGAACATTTTGGTATACCTTAGAAAAATGGACGTGTGTGTGTGTGGTGTGTGCGGATACAAATTTTCGTCGACGATTTTGGGAACACGGTTCAATCGATTTCAATTATTCAAAAAACATTCGATTGCTGTTGATAACGTGCTGATTAGTTTTTGGCATAAGCAGGTCTAGCCGTTTCGGGCTAGATACGGGGCAAAAAGTGCCGCAAACGGTAACGCAGTTTTTAAGAGAACGGAGCGTCCGATTTGAATAATAAAAAAAAATTTCACTTGTATTGACAATATGAAGAACTGATCGGAGATCTGGTAAAAAAAGTAAAAAGTGAAAAAAGTAAAAAAAAAAGCCATTTGGCGGTCAAAAATGATCATTAGATATATAGTACATATCAAATTATCAGATATTTTATAGAGATTTTAACAATGAGTATAAATTTTGTTCACAATCCTATGGGTTCCGTACCAATGTTCATCCGTTAGACGGCAACGCGGCGCTTACGCGCTTCGATATTTCGTCTCTATGCAGTTAAAGCAGTACGATTGCTTTGAAAAAAAGTTAAGAGTTTCCAAAATATTTCAAAATCAAAAAACTTTTTTTTTTTTCAAAAAATCAATGTCAAAAATTAATAGTTTCTCAAAAATCTATTTTTTTCGAAGTAAATTTTTTTCTATTTAAAGTTAAAAAGAAGAAGAAGTAAAATGTTAATCTATTTAAAATAAAAATAATTTTTGGTACGGGAAGTTTCAGCAATTTGCCTTTAGGCACAATGCCATGCGCCCCACTAGTTTAAGTTGAAAATTGAACCCAATAACGATTTGAGTTGATTGATTAGTATTTCGTGATTATAGGTTGATAAGCTTATTTATCTGTGGGTCGAGCTGTTTCTTAATGTAAATTGCAACTCAATGATACATATTTTAACGAATGATTCCATAAAAACCCTGAACCAAAGAATCATGTAAGGTATATCAAGTATCTTAAGAATTTTAAAATTATATTATTGACTTAAACTTAATGATCGATTGATTATTTGCATACATCTAGATAATTTATATATGTATATATATATATATATATATATATATATATATATGTGTGTGTGTGTGTGTTTGTGTTGTGTGTACATTTACTTCATTTTGTTTTATATTGCACAATATAATAAATTAACATTGAATTAAGTCCTGAGTGCCCTAGGACTTAACGTCAAGTCTAAACGAGGTGTTGGCAAGTTTCATCACAAATTGATGAATTAAATCAAGATTGTAAAGTGGTAAAATACCCGATAATTTAAATTAAAAAAAAATACCTAAACATAACCCTATATATGTTTCTCTCGCACATTGAAATTTGCGCGTATAACAAATATTTGAACTGATTTTGAGCAAAATGCTTCAGCAAAAACCATGTCATTTTTAGGTTTTTATTTTTTTAGTCAAAATTTTTAAATAATAAAATTATCAAGTATTTTACCATTTTACAATCCTGAATAAATGCGCCAACTTCTGATGAAACTTGCTTCAGAAACACTCTTTAGTAGATTTTTTTAAAAAAAACAGGCCCTATCATAGTTCAACAAAAAGTCTTAATTTTTGAAAACTTAAGAAGAAATGTTATTCCGGCTACGGTTACAAAGTTTAAATGAATAAAATTATTAATAGTTAAACGAAAATTAGTCATAATTTCACCAAAGCTCTAGGCTGCACTTAAAAGCTCAATTTTCAAACAGGGTGAGATTTTTTTTCAGGACAGTTAAGGTCAATACTTTCACACCGTTTCGGTTCGATGTTAAGTTCTGGGACACCCTGTATTATACATATACTTAAATCTTACATACATACACACATATATATATATATATATATATATACACATATATATATATATATATATATATATACAGTGGTGTTGTGCTAGTCTGGAACCCTAAAATTTAAAAACCGGTTCTCATGTTTGTTCCGGTTCTGTTCGAAAAGGAAAGAAACAAAAATTATTACAAAACCCATTTTGTGCACATATATGTATGTTTATTACAATAATAGGAACATTTAACATGAATTAGTTGTATTATAATTTATGAAATTCACTTTTAAAATTATTTTGCCGGAACGCGTTTCGGCCCAAAAATGATTTGCCGGAACGACGTTCCGGCGCGTTCCGGCTCGACAACACCACTGTATATATATATATATATATATATATATATATATGTATATATGTATATATATACATACATACATATATAAATATAAATATAAATATATTTATAATAGAGAATAAATATATTAATGTTTAGTATTGGCGGTGTGACCTTTTGTCAATTAACAATCTTAATTATTTTTATATTTATATATTCGTATATAACATTAATTGCAAAATCTATTGTGGGTCTACTATTATCTATTGTAAATTAATAATGAATTTATTTGTTACTTACGATTTGGGGCCGCAGCCATCGCCATACCGCAGCATACCTCCAGCACTCCGACGACGCGTCGATACCATTTGGAGGGCAATTTGAAGTCTAAGGTCTGGCTTAACGGAAATACTTTAGCGTATTTTACATATTCTTTTCTCTGTAAGTTAAATAAAATTTCTTTATCAAAAATTTTATAACAACGTAAAATTTAAAGAAATGTCATTTAAGTTATGAATTACAAATGACAAATTACCGTGAGGTGTATTTTATGAAATTGAAAATTTCAGTGCACATTAAATTTATTATGTTTTGGTCCATTGATAAAAATTTCACGTAAGCCGATTAATACAATGTCTAGGTTGAATTTCGCATAATAAAAGAAACTATCAAACATTTATATTTCATAATTGTGTGCGTCAAAAAAAATTAGCTTAACCACATATCCGTATTATAGAGCGGGGCATAATGGGCTTAGCGCCAAAACTTTAAATAGAGCTGAGCATTTTTGCAATGTTCTGTTACAAAATAACACAATTATGTTGAATTATAATAAATTTGTTCCACATTTCATAACAGTTGATCTAATAAGGCGACCGTATATTAATATATATAATTATAAATTAATTATAAATTAGACTTACCAAATCTTTATGTAATTCTTTGGAAATGTGAGATGTGAGTTTCATAGTTCCAATAAAAATGAAGAAAATTCCCAATAAAATGGAGAGACTTTTTAAGACTACCGAAGAGCCCATTTTTAATTATCAAAATTTACTTTATTCAAGAAATATATTCAATATAAAAATTCACGTATAGAACATGTTATTTTTAAATGAGTGTACAATTGTTATACTATTTTGTATTTATTTAACAATACCATAGTTTTAATGATATGTTGTATTATTTATGTTTTGTATCACTGTGAATCTGCTCGAATTCGTACACTAATCAATAACTTTGAACAAGAGATTTTAACTATGGAACTTGGCTATTGTTGCGTAATCGTTAACGCCGTTAACAGATGGCACTAGCGGTTAGAATACGACGAACAGGAACGGCGCAGATTTCAGCCGCATGCGTCGTCTATGGATAAACGGGTACGCAATCCGGACATCCAGACGAATATTATATTTTATTTATTTAATCTGTTCTGACAATTTGCCCATCTGTCTACTTTTGAGCGGTTATATTTTTAAAACTTCTACAAAGTCTGCGATACTTAAAATATTAGTTCCATTGATTTTTAAAGAAACTAGTGGTGCATAGCATCGTGCTTGAAGACTTGATCTTCCCGCACCGTAATAAAATAGTCGAGGAATTTTAAATTATTTTAGTCGAATTAAAATTAAAATCCATATCATCACAAGCACAATTTTTTTAAATTATTATAATCAGATTATCCGTTCTCTCAATAACTGCTAGTTCTTCACTCTTTGTTCCGTATCTCCAAAACGGCTCGAACTGCTTTTGATAATTCAAAAAACATTTTACTTGTATTGAAGGTGACGATCAAATTTTCATAAAGGCAGGTCTAGCGGTTTCGGAGATCTAATAAAAAAAGTAAAAAAAAATGCCATTTGGCGGTCAAAAATGATCATTAGGCATGTGCACATCAAATTATCAGATATTTTATAGAGATTTTAACAATAAGTATAAATTTTGTTTACATTCCTATGGGTTCCGTATCAATGTTTACGCGTTAGACGGCGACGCGGCGCTTACGCGCTTTGATATTTATTCTTTTATGCAGTAAAAGCATTACGATTGCTTTGAAAAAAAGTTTAGATCTTGCAAAATATGTCAAAATAAAGAAAATATTTTTCTAAAAAAAAAAAATTTAAAAAAAAATTTTTTTTTTTAAAAAAATTTTTTTTTCAAAAAAAAGTAATTTTTTGTCCAATTTATAGTTTTTCACAAATCTTATTTTTTCGAAGTAAATAATAATTTTTGGTACGGGAAGTTCCAGCAATTTGCCTTAAGGCACGATGCCTTAATTGCCTTAAGACAGAATTCCACTTACAGATAGTTTGCTCCATATCTCTAAAACGGCTGGACCTCTCTTTGCCAAAAAGTAATCAGCACGTCACCCTATCAATAAGAATCGAATGCTTTTTTAATCATTCAAATCTGTTGACCCGTGCGCTCGAAATAATAGACGAAGATGAAGGTGAAGATATGCAAAAATTTTCATTTTTGATTTCTAGACAATTACAATAATTGACTTTAAGAGAAGTTAATATGTCAGGTAGATATGCTCTACTAAAATATAAATAACTTCGATTTGGCAATAATTTAAAAACTATTGAAGTTTAACGTTTCTTACGTTAAACATACGTTTGTGTTTTACTAGAATCATCATGAAAGGCGTTACAATTAGTCGTTGTCGACCAATTAATCGAGTTAATAAGTTTAACCAAACCTGAGGAACTTTAAGCTCCCTTTTTTCGTCCTACACTCTTTTACTCTGTCGGTGCTGATATTGTTAATCACTTAATCACAAATATATTAATGAATTTATTAACAAATGTGCATATTCAAACATTTTTCGATAAGTTCAAATTTGCAATGCTTGAGACAAGAGTTATTACGTGTTAATTAGTAACTTGTTTTTCGAATCATGTATGTATATGAGTCAGAAGACCATTCGTCCAAGTTTTCACCTTTCGATAAGGACTCGCGTTAATTAGTTTTGCGAAACGATAGGCCGAACCGTTCACAGAATTCACAGACCGTTAACGTTTTCTCATTTTCTCAAAAGAAGAGTATCGACTTTCAAAATTTAATAACTCCTAAAAAGATATCAAGAAATCGTGCTGATGAGTACAAACTAAAGATTGGTCGAGGCGTTCTTCTTAATTAATTGTTGATTTTTTTTTGGCGATTTTGATGAAACTTTGTTTGACGACGGATTTCGTCTAAACTAGCATACTATAATATTATAGGCCTACTATATAAATTCAACAAAGTTTGGAATAATGAATCTCGCTTTGAATGTGATGCTTCATAGGATCGGAAATTGAATTGATTAGTTTTTTGAGAAAGCAAAAACGTTATTTTCGAAATACATAGATGAAAATTATACTAAGTAGCTGAATTTCAATTATTATTAATTAATTCGATTATCTACACGCATCCGGGAAGTTCATGCAACTTGCCTTAAGACATTTGCCACCTACAACTTGTTGGCAATTTTTTTTATCTAATACAATAAAAGATTAAATATAAAACAAAAATATTGGTGACGTCATGTACTCACGCGCTCTCATATCAATGATAAGTTTTTAATCTAAACGTGGGAATATTTAATACTGCAATCTGAAAAAAACATTTATTTATACATTGAATAGTCAGATGTCTATCATTTATTAAATGAACTTTGCGATCTTAATCTTTGAAATAATCAAAATAAATATGATGTAAGTGATAAATTGTTAATTGTACTTGATATCAGCGCTTATCGATTATTTCATCAACAAATAAATAAATTTGAAAATCTTGATGCATTTTCATTAAAGATACGGCATAGAAAAATGTGAGTGCTACATGATTTTTCCAGATTCATTGCTAATTCCATATTAGCTAAGAGCATATTTAAATCATTATATTTAAATAATAAATGTAAATTTGGATCCATAAATATCCATGAGATCCTGTTTTATCGTACTATTGTAATAATATTATATTTTTATTGAAAGGTACATAATAAGCTTTAGAATAAAACCATAGTCAAAAGCTCGGATATTGAAAGCTACACCGTTCATAAAATCGTTAAAATGAATGAATTTAGAAGCATATTTCTAAAATACTATAAATAGAAAATGACACCTAACTTACATTTATTACATTTTTACTGCTTTGTTAATAAAAAATATATTTTGACGAATATTGCTGATACTTGTTTCTAATTTTACTAAATAAAAAAATATCATAGAGTATTTCAAATTGAATACCTCAATATTCAGCTAATTATAATAAAAAAAACGTAAAAATATTACGGAAAACATAATATAAATATGTAAAGTAATGTAATTTAAATTACGGCGGCTTAGTAAAATAGTGTAGTGTGAAAACTGTCTCAAACTTTTATTGATATAAATAGATCACTGATATAATATCGGGTATTAAGAATAGAATCTGATGATCATATTGTGATTTTAAAATTAGACGAACTATCAAATGGTATATTCAAATCATTGAAACCTCCAATTTAGAAATATGCCTTAAAGGACTATTATAAGTTATAGGACACAATTTCTTAATATCATATATGAAAATGAAATGGAAAAGTTTATCGTCAAATGCTTTATTATATGTATAGAAATGAAAGATAAAGAAAAAATAAGTTTATTTATACATAAAAGATAAAAAAATTAATTGCGTGTAATTTCAACCCTAGGAAATCTAAATTAAAAGTAAAATATTAGGATCGGTTAGTCAGTTTAATCAGTTTCAGTTCCAATATTATTGTTTTTGATAGTATACCAATCTATTTTGGAAAAATGAATTGATGGTTAACGCCCATTGCCTACGATGTATGATGTTCAAAGGTTCGTTGATAATTTTTTTTTTGCAATCTGCATATTTGGAAAAAGGTACTTTTTATATATTGCGAAAATAGATTAGATAAACAACGCGACATCGGTTATTATAATTTAGTGAGCTCATTAAAATATGTACTTACAAATGTACTTTCCACGAACGCTCACACGTCATGTTTTGCTATTAACATATGTAGTTAGTAATGAAATTAACTACTCTAATTATGAAACACATGGAAATACTGTTCATCCATTTATTGCAGGCTTATTTTAACTTCCCGAAGAAGAAGTTTATGTTTTCATAAAAAATCTATTCGCTAATTTTATGTTTTCTCAACGTTTCAAGCCATTCTGAACCGAATGAGACCAAATTTGGAAAAAAATTTCGTCCACGTTTTAGCCCCCAATTCTGAATCAATTTTGAAAAATCAAAAACCATTCGAAAGATATTGGTTGGGAATCGACCTGATTAGTTTTTGGTAGAGATCGGCTGGGCCGTTTTCTTGTGATAAAGTGTTAAACAATTTTGTTCGACGATTTTTATGAATTTTTTTTTTTATGGTAGATCTTATAGAAGTCTTATAGATCATACTGAAATATTATGGCCTTACAACAAGTAGTTTAATTTCAAAAATTCATCAAAGTTTGAGAAAATGAGTAGTTTTTTAATGTTTGTTAAAATTAAAATTAGACGATTTAGTTGGTATGACGATAGAGTTTTTGGTCTTAATGAACATGCTATATCATTAAAGTCCTACGGAAAATGGTTCAATTATAAAAATTATTGATTTTTGAAAATTTGCTTTTAGAAATTAACTCTGATTAATTAAGTTAACTCTGAGTTAACGTGTTCGTTCGTTTTCAATTATGCGTAATAAATCCACTCGGAATACTATTAATCACTCATAAATTAATTTATTTTTTATTGATTAAGTCTATTGTTTACACATATTCATGTAACTTGCCTTAAGGCAAAATACCAATACCCATCAAAAATCATGGGTGGGCTCAAGCCCCATTAAGTTCCTGATACGTGTAAATATTTCAATTACTCTATAAAAATTGAAATATACCTAATTAGATAGAATTGTCATTTGTTTATTTCGAAATTAAAGTATTCGCTTTCTTTAAATACTAATTAATTCGATATCTTTCAAGCAAATATTTAATATCTGTAATTGTATCAATTCTAGTGCACCAACACGTACTTGTGTGTCCTAAAAGCGCAGCCCATTATTGAACTTTAATGAATATTTATAATTTAACTATTATATTTTAGAATGTTTATTTTAGACAATGAAATCTATTATGGCGACGTGTAACTAATCAACACCATTCCCAACTGATATCTTTTGAAGTTTTTTTGTAATCGGTTTAGCATTTTGGGTAAAACATAGGACGATAGTCGCGCAAAAACTAATCAACGGCAGTCCTCATCAAGAAAAATCGAAAGGCTTTTAAATTTTTGAATCCGGTTCCTGAGATAACTTCGTCAAATTTCGTCTCACGCATACTTTTTCTAATTTTGGTTTCAAACAATTAGGGATGACTTGAAATGTGGAAAACACATAAAATTAGCAAATCGGATTTTCTGGGAAAAAAAATATTTCGGGAAGTTGAAAATAATATATTTTGGTAATTTTAACTTAACTACTTCTCCTCCTACGCCTGCAAATTCCTGTCCGATTTCGAAAGAAAAAGAAACTTATATGTATTTATGATGTTATTCTGCATAAGGACATTAAGCTTTTTAGCGGCTGATGTGCGCACGTTCTGCACTTCCTGTAACTTTCCATTCTAATGCAAGTTGCAGCAAATATTGATTTGTGTAGCATTATTTTAATTCTGGAATGACAAAGATTTGTGCGAGGCATGTCTCATCTATAACTATATGCATATAATACCAAAGTCCGATTGAAACGTTTACGTTCTAATCATCAATTGTGACATTTGATATGTGCATTTACGTCCTTACTTTTAAACCAATAAGATGTACAATTATAATTTTGTCAATATTAATCAATAAATTAGATATCCTTGAGGTATCTCATATTATCGCCAATAAGTGATCATATCTTATATTATAATCAGCTTTCATCTAACGACCTTCAAACGAAAATTTTACCACATTTTAGATTAACGATTTTTAATTCAAATTATACCTTGTACCCCTTGGACTTTTTCAATAATTGGGTAAGTTATAAATTAATTTTTAATACCCTGTTTTAAGGCTTTGCACAAGAGAGGTAATATAATCAAATATATATTTATTGTTAACAATGTGAAAATTAACTTGTGGTGCATGGCATCGTGCCAAGGCAAATTGCTGGAACTTAAAGTTTAAAAAAGCTATAGCATTTTTTGAGTTTTAAGTTTAGAAATTTTATTCAAAAAATGGACTTTTAAAAAATTGATATTTTTTCTTCTAAAACTTTTGATTTTTTTCAAAGCAATAGCGCTGTGTTGCAGTTTTAGAGATGAAATATCAAAGCGCATAAGCGCCGCGTCCCAGTCTAACTCATAAACATGGGTATGGAACCATAGATAAGTGAACAAAATTCATACTTAATATGAAAATCTCTATAAAATATCTGCTAATTTGATGTACATATGTCTGATGACCATTTTTTATAGCCAATTAGCATTTTTTTAGACTTTTTTATTGGATCTCTGAAACCGCTGGACCTGCTTTTTCAAAAATTTAACCAGTTTTTATTTTGCCTATACAAATAAAATGTTTTTCGAATCATTCAAATCGGACGCTATGTTCTCTCGAAAACTGAATTACCATTTTTATCACCTTTTGCACTGCATCCCTAAACGGCTGGCCATGCCGTTTCCGGTAATAGGAGTCGAATGTTTTTTTGAATCATTCTAATTGGTTGATCCTCTCGAAAAATTCGGCGAAAAATTGTATCCGTACAAATATAAATATACACATATGAACATTTTTTCTAAAGTAAACGTAAAAATATGCAAAAACTTTCATTTTCGATTTTTTGCGATTAAAAACTAAATGTTCTTGACAGCTGTCCAGAAGATGGAACGCATCTAGTATCGAAACGTCTACATTTATAATAATTTATTAAAAAAAATTTAATTTTTTTTTTACTTATTAACTTCCCGTAGGGTAAGTTATCAGCAAAAAATCTAAAATGAAAATTTTATATATCTTTACGTTTCAAAGGTTTTTGAACATTTTGGCCGTTCAACCGATTTGAATAATTCAAAAAACATTCGATTCGCATTGATAAGGAGACGTGCTGATTAGTTTTTGGCGAAGGCAGGTCTAGCAGTTCCGAAGATACGGGACAAAAACGGTAACTTAGTTTTTAAGAGAACGGAGCGTTCGATTTAAATAATTCAAAAACATTTTACTTGTATTGACAAGACGAACTGATTAAATTTTTGGGAAGGCAGGTCCAGCGGTTATGGATTCTCAATAAAAATAAGTTAAAAAAATGTCATTTGGCGGTCAAAAATGTTTATTAGACATATGTACAACAAATTATCAGATATTTTATAAAGATTTTATTAATTAATAATGTGTTCACATTTTGTTTATTTTTTGGGTTCCGTACCAAGATTTTTAATTATGGTACGGGAAGTTCCAGCAATTTAAGGTACGATGCCATGCACCCCACTAGTTAGATTCCTTGTTTAAAGCCCAACATATTCATATGTAGCGTTGAATTCTGTCATGATTAGATTTAGATTTCTATATAGATAAATAACATACGACATATAAAATGATGTATGCAAACATATGTCCAAATGTATGTCTTTTACGCATATCTATATTACAAAAATAAACGTCCATATGCATTATCATTTTATTAATATTCATATTTTCATACATTTCCACACAATAATTCGAATATTTCAAAGAATTTCCAAATGAAGTGCGTAGTGCGCGATTTATTTACGATTTGTACGAATGACGTTATATAGGTTATAATTGCGTTGCAAAATATTTTATCAAAATGATCGCATTATCATATTGTAATAGATAATTGTTTTGAGCAAGTTTGAACTGCAAAACAATATATAAAATATTTGTTAAATAGAACACATTGCTACTGTGGATGGTTCCGTTGATTGCTACGCTTATGAATAGCTGTGCCAATTCAGTTCAGTTATCATATTGAGTTATTTTTGAGCTTTTTAAAACAAAACAATGCTTCGCAGTTTGACAAATAATAAATATATTATCGCCTGTATCAAAAAAAGTGCTAGATTTGCCTCTTCGCCTCATGTAAGTATTATAAGCACCATTGTTCCAATTGCAGTGCTTGATTGATTATTACTATACATTGTTATTTTTGTATATATGATGTTTATACATTTCACTTCGATATTTAGACTCGAGTCCTACTGCAATACTCAAGAGTTCCCTTAATAACGTTAGCGTTGGCAACAACGGGACCAACATCGGTGGTCAGAAAAGATGCATCTATGCAAACTGAGAAGGATGAAGTTTTTATTCCACGCAATATTAACATACCGAAGGTATTAGAAGATGCTGATTCATTTTTTAGAGAAGGAAAGTTTAACGAGTGTGTGGAGCTACTGCAAAATTTCATAGTAAGTTTCAATATAAAATGAATTAGTCGTATTAAAACAGATATATTAGAATATCATATGTTAGGAACTCAACCACATAATTTTGAATAGATGATTGAAGATCCTGAAATCTGTTGGAGATTAGCTCGAGGTTTATATAATTTAACAAAAATTGTTAACGGTGATAAAAAAAGGAAATGTATTAATGATGGCTATGAACTGATGAAATCAGCATTAGAAAAGTGGCCGGTAACTTTCTTAAATCTAAATTACCCTTGCTTAAATCACACTTATTTATCTTGATAATTAAATTGAAGGATAATGGAGCAATCCATAAGTGGTATGCAGTATTGCTCGACTCCTATGCCGGTTTGCAAGGTGTCAAGGAACGTGTTAGGCAATGCAAAACTGTTAAAGAACATATGATGGTAAATATTTATGTAAATTATAATCTGAGAAAAAAGTAAAATGTAAATATGTAAAATATTGAACCTTAAATTAATGCTAAATATTTCTAGAAAGCCACAGAGTTGAATCCTTCTGATGCCACTGCTTGGTATATGTTAGGTGAATGGTGCTACCACGTTGCTGATATATCATGGCATGAACGGAAATTAGCTATAATACTATTTGGAGAACCCCCATACTCAACCTTTGAAGAGGCCTTGCGTTACTTTCAGAAGGTACAATTAATTTATACTAATCAAACTTTAAACCAGAAATTTATTAATATTTCTGATTTTTGAAAGGCCCTTATTTAACAAAACTGCCAATAAATAAATATATATTATATTTAAACATTATCCTAACTAAATTTCATGTTTCTTTATAACGCAGGCTGAAGAGACAGAGCCCTTATTCTACAGCAACAATTTACTTATGTTAGGGAAAACCTACTACAGGCTTGGTAAAACAGAACCAGCCCTCTTTTATTTGCAAAAAGCCCAGTTACATCCAAAGACATGTGATGATGATATGATAGCATGTAATGAAGCTACAAAATTACTTTGTAAGCTAAAAAAGAACACAGAGTGATAATGAAAAATATTGAATATGATCTCAAAATATTTTCTACTAGTGAGCTGCAAAGTACGAAGTCAAATTTAGCACTATGTCATAAGTATTACAAACTCATATATGATATATCATTTGTGTTACCTATTTTATATTTATTGTCTGTTTTAAAATTATATGTAAGATATATTGTAGGCAAACAAAATGTGATTTAAGTAACTATAGTACAAATTTTTCCATTTATTTTTAAAATATATGCAGTATATTATTTTTTAATTGGCATTTTTTATTTAGAAATGATATCTCTTAATTAATTTGTTTAAATTAATTAATTTAAATGAATAAATGAGTTTAGTATTTGCTCATATAAAATCCTTCAATTTGCAATGAACTTCAGTATGAGTTAAACAGCCATCAGTTTAAGAGTTTTTAAAAATGAGGGCTCAATAAATATATTACTGATGCATAAAAAAAAGAAGGTAAATATTTAAGGTTTTCATGTGGTACAGATACAAATACATAAACATAAGTATGACATTTTTACAGGTATGAATATTTATAGAATTTATTATCACAGAAACATATTGCATGTGTTTCCATATTCCTTAAGGAATATAATGTAATGAATTGAAGGAATGAATGAAGGAATAATGTAATTAATTAATTACATACTTACTTGCTTTTTATAGCATTTAGTTGTCTTTAGTATCAGTTAATTCAATTTAATCATTATGTCATGGATGCATCTCAACACAATGTTATTTATTTTTGACACAGGACATTAAATTCATCTTTTTATCAGCTTTTTATTACTTTATGGATATTTATATTTGAAGTACGTTATAATTTCTGTACAAAGGGTTCATAGCAAAAAAGAATTGAAATACTGCCAAATGTTGCTCAAAAAAGTGAATGTGATTCTATTGTTATATTGTCTAGGATTCTAACATTGCAGAGATTTCAATTTTCTATCCTGACCCTATATATATATATATATATATATACACAGGGCCGGTCCTGCCTTGAATGCAATGCATGCAAAAAATGCGGGCGCACGCCTTAGGGGGCGCCAAAACGAGGTTCGGAAATGGAATTTATAATATTTTATTTTTTATTTTTTTAAATATAAAATCCTGAATACTTAATAGATTATAATAAACAATCCAACTTAACTATGAATAATAAAAGGCATATTCAGTTTGCAATGTGATATCAATAGAAACAATTAACCAAATAATAACTCTGCAAATTTGTAAATTATTGTTCTGCTTATTGTTTAATGTACTCTTAAATTTTTTTCTTCGTTTGAAGTTAACATGGAATCGAAAAAGAAAATATTTAGTGTTCATTCCCGTAAGAGCAAACCTACGAAAGTTTAAATTAATTATTGAGCGTTATTGATGAAAAATAGCAAGCTGATTCAATTAAAATGGAACTTGTTAAAGAAATATATACTAATTATAATAGAGAAAATGGAAAATGGGGAGTCAGTGCTCAAAAAATGGCTTGTTTATCCCGAAAATTTGTATTGTAATTTTTGTTTTTGTTGCAAACTGCAAAATATGAAAAATGAAAGCAAAATGTACTTAGGAATAAAAATCTTTAAGATTTTTTTATACATAATTTAATTATTAACTATGCAGAAATAATACAGATACAAATATAATTTGTTTGTTTCAGTATAGTTAAGGGAATATGTAATTTCTTTGCATCTTTTACTAATCTTTACTAACACTTTAAAAAGTTTAACTTAAAAAAAAGAATCTGATACTCTGAATATAAGGGGAAAGTAACGCTGAATACAATTCGGTCCTTACGATACCAATAAGGAGAAGTTTAATTCAATTTTAGATATTGCAAATAATGAAAAAATAAACTAAAATAAAATATAATTTAAAACATGAAATACGAGTGTTATGTCTTTTTTTGCTCTTTTGTCGTGATAGGTTGCTCTTTAGAATAAATCGCATAATAAATAAGTTAAATATTTCATTAAGTTGATTATGATCAACCCGCGAATAGCCTCGATTTTTTAAATAAATTTAAAATCAATGTATTTTATACGCTTTTAGATTATATCTAATTTTTTGCGTACTAAAGTGTGTGTACAAAAATCCAGAATGATTATTAATTATAATTATTTACTTTACTTCATTTATTTACTTTACTTTAATTAAAATTAAAAAAAATAAAGTAAATGTTTATATAATTTCAATGAAAAACTTTTAAAACAGTTAAATATATTTGGGGGGGGGGGGGTGCGCTAGAACAAATCTTGCATGCGGGCGCTGAGGACCCCAGGACCGGCCCTGTATATACATTAGGGCGGGTCGATTTGTATGACTAAAAAAAGAGTTTTACTATGTAAAATTTATAAGTTTTACTAAATAAAACTATGTGAAACTTATAAATTTTACATAGCAAGACTATTTCGTGTATATATATTAAAACTACGTAATATTTCTTATGTACTATATATATTGTATTATAATTTTTGACTTATAAATGATGTTTATTTCTCTTAAGAGAAGCTGTTTTAATTGTAAGTCCAATTACAAGTACGGATAACTGCACTTTTTAGAAACAACGACAGGTTACGAATGCTCCATTTAAATTATTTATCCAACATTTTATATCGCATAAATCTGAAATTCTGGATCTTAGGCATAACTAATGTTCTGACGGTTCTGACATAAAAAACAGTGATTTTAAAATAACAAACGCAAACGGTCATTGTAAAACGCGGCTCTTCGCGGTGGTGTTGGTTCGAAACAAGTTGACAGCTTCGTGTCATTGGTGTTTCAAATTGTTCTTGCACGGCCTTATCTTCGAATTATTTTAGGTTATGTGCGTTATGTGTTTGTTTTGAATTTTTATACTTGCGTATGGTGATATTCCCATGAATATCTCTCCAATCAATATTTTAACACAAGGTTCGATGAAATTTTGAATTGCTTAAATATGTTTGAAGCACGCACCATCAATGCAGAGCACAAAGATGTTATTCACGACATTGATTACGATTTTTATGGACAGCGAATGGCAACATGCTCTAGTGATCAATTTGTAAAGGTTAGTGAAACGTTAAACGGTTGTTTAATGGATATTTTCAACTGATTATCAATTTCTGATTTCCAGGTTTGGGATTTAGATGAACAAAGAGATTGGATTGTAACGGCCAGTTGGAAAGCTCATTGTGGATCAGTTTGGAAGGTAACATGGGCGCATCCAGAATTCGGGCAAGTAATAGCAACTTGCTCTTTTGATCGAACTGCTGCTGTTTGGGAAGAAACTAGTAATGCTATTAATTTCATTACATTCTTCATTTGCAACAATCATACAAGTTTTTTTTATTTATTATAAACTTCTGTTAAGAACAACTATGTTTCATAGATTGGTAGTTTTCTGATTAGTAAGTATTAGGTATACAATACTAGTTGAGTTAATATTTATCTCTTTTTTATAGTTGGGGAAACAGTCATACCAGGTGTGCAAGGAATGCGACGTTGGCAAAGAAGAACTAGCTTGGTTGATTCTCGTACGTCTGTCACTGATGTTAAATTTGGACCTAAAAATCAAGGAATGATACTAGCAACATGTTCGGCTGACGGTATTGTTAGAATATATGAAGCTCCTGATGTAATGAATTTAAACCAATGGACATTACAACATGAAATAGCTGTTAAACTTCCACTAAGTTGTTTAGCTTGGAATCCCTCAATGTTTAGGTAACATTGTATTTATATGTGATAAATTAATACTTTTCTTAATAATACATACATAAATATATCTCATATTTATGACCGAAGGACCCTGCCCGAAGGCAGGTTCATAACAATTATATATATATGTATATATATATATATATATATATATATATATATAAGTAATCTTTAATTTTATTGGAATTAAAGATTATTTTATAAATCTTTGTTTTTTCTTTGTTTGATGTATCGCCCTTGAGGAACTTACTCATATATCTCAACATCAAAATTAACTACTAAATCATATATATATATATATATATATATATATATATATATATATATATATAAAACTCACAATAAAAAAAGCTTTATAATGGACATCCATTTATCCAGATAATAAAAAAAAACACTAAATTATGTTTCTATATATTCCAGTTTGACTTTTCTGCAACACACAATTTATTTGATAAACACAAAAAAAAACCACATTCAAGAAACAAATTTAAATCTAAAAGTGAAATTTATTAATTTACAGTTTTTATAGATGTTCATTATAGTTTATTTGGATATGCTTAGGGTCACTTACTATTTTTAACAATTATTAACATATTTTGATATTAAATTGATACCTTTGCATTAGAAGATGTATTTTATATTAGAACCTACTAATATAAAATAATTTTATCTTGCGCAAAATACAGAATCTTAAATTTTTATATGTGAACTAAGTGTAGAATTAGTATTTATGCATGAGAATAAAGCAACATCTGAACATATGATTACAGAAAATATTATATTTGTATATACTTAAAATTAACATTTTAGATTACATCCACCTATGATTGCTGTAGGCAGCGATGAAGTAAACAGCACATCAGGTGGTAAAGTGATTATATATGAATACAGTGAGAATGCTAGACGTTGGTCTAAATCTGAGGTTATCTCTAGTATAACTGAAGCAGTACATGATCTATCTTTTGCTCCGAACTTAGGTAGAAGCTATCATATGTTAGCAGTTGCTACAAAAGATGTACGAATTATAATTCTCAAGCCGCAACAGTGAGTATCTATTTCATGCATAGTAGTTAAGGTTACTTTTGTAACACACACACACACAAACACACACACACACACACACACATATATATATATATATATATATATATATATATATATATATGATATGTGTGTAACAGGAATGATGCAATGTATAGTTATGTCTTTTGAATTAAACTTTTATTTTCTTTGCATTTCACTGATTTGAAAGTTTTTTTTTCATATTTATAATTCATTTATGCATGCTGTATTTTTTTATTTTTTTAACTTTTTTTTTTTTTAATTGCAGTGAGTTAAACTTATGTTCGCAAGTTGTTCCAAAACTAGATGTACAGACTGTAGCACAATTTACTGATCATTATTGTACAGTATGGAGAGTTTGCTGGAATGTTACTGGAACAACATTATCTTCTTCTGGCGATGATGGCTGTGTACGAATGTGGACAAGTATGTAGATTTATCCTTTTATTTTTTATAAACTTTAAGTTATTTTTCAGTTTACTTAAATATAACACAAAAACTAATATTTTGAAATGCCCCAAAAACAGTGGTGATTGTACTTGATGCAATTTGCTTATGCTCTACATAAGTGTTTTGCGAACGTTATTGATATAATATGCAGAACATGGATATATGTATATATATTTATATATATATATATATATATATATATATATATATATAAACATATTTTCGAAATGTTTTGTTGCCAGGTATACAAAAAAAATGTTAACTATTTATTATGTACGTTTTTGTATATGTATCATCATTCAGCAAGTTACAAATTCAAACTAGGAAATATCAAAACTTAACATTTTAGGTATATATATATATATATATATATATATATATATATATATATGTATATATATGTATATGTATATATGTATATACAGGCAACCCTTCGTTAACCGTGCTATAAATATATATATATATATATATATATATATATATATATTTTGAATATATAAATTTTTAGGTTGTTAGTAAAACATAATAATTAAAATTATTGTTGATATATTTATCTAATATTCTATGCATTATATACATAACTAAAAATGACATGCAATTTCTTTGTAACATTATATCAAGATCTTGCAAGATAAATAATGTGTAATGACATTTTTCAAATCTATAGAGAGTTACACACAAGTATGGAAATGTGCAGCTGTTTTAAAAGGTGATGGCTTTAAACCTGGAAATGATATATCCGCTATTGCAAATGCTACACACAATATTGTAGCGGCCCATTCAACTACCAGATATTATAAATTAGGTACAATTAGTCATCCTAATCAAGTACCGTGGCATTAGTTAGCATTTCTTTTCCTTAATAATGTGTAAAAAAATTTCTAATACTGTCTTCTTTATTTCATAATAAAATTATTAATTTTACTTGGGCCAACTTATTAGTTTTATCTATAATTTTATTTCTTCTATTATGTAATATTTGTCCTTTAGATTAATTAATATTTTATATTATTGAATTTGCTATATGTTAGGTAGAACAATATGATTAATTTTAAATGGTGAATGTGTCCATTGTGAAATCATTGTATTTAGTGTCCGTGGCTCATAACAAATCTTTACTAACATTTTTTTTTTGTCAAAATAGATAATTTTTGAAAAACATGGAAAAGAAATTGACTGTCTCTCAAAACAATCCAATAAATGTAATGATAACGAGAATTTTATTTTTTATTTGAATGAATACGCTTGGATGTTAGTGCTAGAAATTACACATTTAAGGGGGTATTCTACTGTAGACGCATGAATTTCGCCCGGTTTTTGAAGCGATGTATAAAGGAAACAAATAATATTTTTACTATCGATTTTTTTATCATTTGTTTATTGATATTTTATTATTACATAAAAAAATTATTAAAAAAAAATAATTAAAATTCACAAAGTTATGAGCAGTCAAAGTGGGGGTTCCCAAAAAAAGAGGGTGTCCTGGCGTACATGATTCCAACCCTCCTGGTGATTTGAAACATAAAAAATAGATGGATTCTTAATTATAATAGATGCCGCTATCGTAAGAACCTTGGAGAAGTTAAAAAAAATTTTTTTGGTTGAATGGCGGCAGTTTGAAAAAAAAAATTTTTTTTCATGTTTTTTTTAACAATTCCGAATTTTTTAAAAATACTAAATGAAAAGTTATAGTTTTGAGCAAGGTCCATACGATAAAGCGATGTATAGAGAAGATCCTCTCCAAATTTGAAGTAAATCGGTTAATTAGAACTCGAGATATCCTTACCGCCAGCTCGAAAAAAGTAGTTCCGAGAAAAACGCGTTCAAAGTTTTGAGACTCGGTCGGACCCTAACCGAGGCCACGTCACTAAAACGGCTATAACTCAGGAAATAATAGTAATTTTGAAAAATCCTTTTAATGACATATTTTTGAATAACTAAACTTTGAAAATATGGAAAAATTTTTTTTTCGATTTTTTCAAAATTCTACAGTAGAATACCCCCTTAAATGTATAAAATTTATGAATTGTTTTGTTTTTGTGTATGATTTAGTTACTGATTGATGTTCAATTTTGAGAGCTTGTGATTTGAGATTCCACTGATGAGAAATCTAGATAAAAATTTAATTGTAAACTGGATATAATTGAGGCTAAATGAGATTCTAACAACAAATGTTCAATTGTTTAAATAATGATATACAGTAGAAGTTCTGTGTTCTCGTTTTCGCTATTTGCTATTTGCGGATAAATTGCGGCCCTATTCATATATTCGTGGGCACAATATCCTTTGTAAATTTGAACATTTGAACTAATAAAAAAAAAAACGACATAAGCCGCCTTCTTTCATTGTCTTGGCTGGCCGTTTTGGCCGCTATCGGTGTTTTTAAGAATTTAGACGAACAAAATGAAGAAAAAAACATTTTTTATTACTCAATGAATAATAATATTTTTAAACGTTGCTGTTTCGTTTTATAGTAAAATTTGACACAAACTGACTCGAAACGAAACATTCCCAATCTATTGAAGAGAAGCAATCCATTTGTTTCAACAAGCAATAAAAACGTGACATTTATTTTGAAAAATCATACTGAAGACCTAAAAATGACAAATGATCTGTGCGATTTCTATCAGAATATTGACGCAACAACGCTTCATTTTCAAGAGGTAAATTTTTGATGAGACTGTTGACTATCAGTTTGAATTGAAGAAGCTGTTAAAAACCGCAGAGCAAGAGAATATTCTCAAGTTTTTTTTAATCTGAACTTCCTAACTGCCATAGCCTGATCATAATTAATCAAAACGCTCAAAAACTAAAATTAAAAATGTTTTTTTGTATATATATATTTTTTGTTTTATTTTACTGCCTTGCAAGGTATACTCCATAATGCTAAATGAATTACAATCACGGATTATTTATTCGCGGCATTTTTATGGAACGTATCCTCCGCAAATAAGGAGCTTCTACTGTATCTGAATAATATGGGTTAGATTATATACTAAAATAGTACAGTTAAGTGATGTTAACTAATCGTAGATTGATTTTAGACTAATTTGCAATATAATTTTAATAGATTTTTTGAATTGGTATACTTTTTGGGTAACAACGAACGCCGGTTATTGTTGTTGGCCAATAACATTGTATCGTTTTGTGCGGGGTGGGTGCATACCACTCGTCAGTCATATATACAGTATTGTAATGATCATGAAGAAAATTTATAAAAAAGACCATGTACATAATTTAAAAATATTATATATTGTAAGACTGAAAACAGGTGAATTCTAATATCTAAAAAAAAAGTTGAGAATATGTAAATATACTGCCAGCGGTGCTATGTGTACGTTTGTACACATTGTTCGTTGTTATTAAGCAGTCGTATATGAAAGCATTCTGATTAGTATCTGTAATTATTAGTCTGAGTTGATTACAGGATTAGATAGTTGACCAGAGGCTAAGATTACAGCAAACGATCTAGATCTGCTTAATCCGTCCGGGGTAGAATTACTTGCTTTGTGTCCTTACCTGCAACACGTCACACAAATTTTATATTTTATAGTAAATATTAAAAAATATAACGGGTAATTAAAGTGTATTAATGATTTCTCGATTTTAAGAACAGGCGATTACATAAATAATTATTTAAATGAAGTTATGTTTATATTTTTATAATAATAAATGGTAGTCTGCCTGAAGGCAGGTCCATGGTTGGGAGCACCACAAATCGATTATTAACTTACCGAAGGAGAAGTTTATGTTTTCATAAAAAAATTCGATTCGCCAATTTTGTTTTCTCGACGTTTCAAGCCATTCTGAATCGAATGAGACCAAATTTGGAAAAAAAGTATGTGTGTGTCTGTGTGTGTGTGTGAACAGATTTTTTGCCGTAAATCGACGTTTTCTCAAAAACGGCTGGACCGATTTCAAACATTTAAAAGCCATTCGATGTATCTCGATGAGGACTAGCGTTGCTCAGTTTTGTGCGGCGATCGGCCGAGCCGATTCTTTGTAAATAGCAGAAAAGTGAAAAGTTTTTCGTCCACGTTTTAGCCCGCAATTCTGAATCGATTTTGAAAATTCAAAAACCGTTCGAAAGATATTGGTTGGGAATCGTGCTGATTAGTTTTTGGTAGAGATCGGCCGGGCCGTTTTCTTGTAATAAAGTGCACTTTTTTTAACATGTTAAAAAAATTTTTTCGACGATTTTTATGATTTTTTTTTGACGGTAGATACCGTAGTCTTATAGATCATACTAAAATATTACGGCCCTACGACAAGTCGTTTAATTTTAAAAATTTAGCGTCAAAGTTTTCAAAAATTAGTGTCGTTTTTCGGCATTTGTCAGAATTAGACCTTTCATCGACGTTTGCTCGAGAACGCCTGAACCGATTTCAGAAATTTAAAAGCCATTTGATGTATCTGAGGATTTTCGTTTGTCAGTTTTGTGCGACGATCGGCTGAGCCGTATCTTTGTAATTTGGAAAAAAGTGTTGAACTTTTCGTTCACATTTAAGCTCATTCTACCGAATCGATTTTAAAAAATCAAAAACTGTTCGAAAGATATTAGTTGGGAATGATGATGATTAATTTTAGATGAAAATCTACCGAGCCGCTTTCTTGTAACTAATAGTTGAAAAAAATATTTTGCTTAATGATTACAGCTTAAATCCACAAGCTATATTTTCAATGTCTCTACTTCGTAATTTTTCCGCCGGCCAAAGCGCCACTAATGTTTATCTATCTCACTCTTTCAACAAATGACGAAACGAAAAGCTCTTCGAGTTTCCTTATCTATACATACAAACACAATGCACTCGTTAAAATTTTTCCACACATATAACATGTCTCGAAAAGAAGAGTTCTTTTTTAATATCTTTTTCATTTATTTTATTTTAATTTAATATTTATTTCTTAATAATTTATAGAATAAAAAATTATTGTGAAAGACAGATCAAATTGCTTATTCTAAAGGATTAATTAAGTAATTATTTACACATTTCGGGAAGTTCTTGCAACTTGTCTTAAGGCTAAATGCACTTTCAACTAGTTTCCTTTCCCTCCCTTGTTCATTATTTCCGTTAGAATTCCACTAGCACTATTCACGTTTATACATTTTCCTTTCCAAACTTCTGCTTCAATACTTTCTGGTCCTGTGTTTCGGCTTTCAGTTTTGTTTTTTTTTTCGCGTAGGTCATATATATATATAGTGTTCCAGAACTCAACGTCAAACCGAAACAGGACGATAATATTGATTGTAACGATCATGAAAAAAATAAAAAAAAAAACGCCATGCACATAGTTTAAAAATTATGAGCTTTCAAGTACAACCGGTTATTGTGGTTCATTTTTATTTATTTTATTTATATAAACTTTGAATTTCTAATCGTTTCTAGGACCACGGTAAAAATACCAAAATTGCCTCAAGTTTTCAGGAATTAAGACTTTTTGTTGAACTATGAATTTAAAATTTTCAAAATTGGTCGAGTTTGAGAGGCCCTACTTTAAAAAAAAATGTACCACAGTGTATTCGCAAGTTTTATCAAAAGTTTGCGCATTTAGTCAGAATTGTCAGTTTCATAATAAAAAAAAAATTGAGTAACAAAATAAAAGCCTAAAAATAACATAATTGCTAGTGCATTTTACTCACAAATAAGTTCAAATGTTTGTTGTACGCGCAGGCTTCAAGGTACAAAAACATTTGAACTGAATGTGAGCGAAATGCGTTAGCCGTTCGTGTTATTTTTAGTTAAAAAAAACGTAATCCTTATTGATTACTTTTACTCGTTTTTTATTACGAATCTATCGAGTATTTTAATAACTTACAATCCGCAAACTTTTGATAGAACAAAAGTTTGCGGAGGGCATCTCAAAGTCGATCTGTTTTGAAAACTTCAAATTCATAGCTCAACAAAAAGTATTAATTCTTGAAAACTTGGGCCAATTGTGTCATTATTTTCATCCGTGGTCCTAGAAATGTTATTTACGATTACGGATCCGAAACTTAAATGAAAACAAAAATTAACAACAATAAAATGGTGACATTTTTACTGAGGCCCGTGTTGCACTTACAACTCCTAATTTTTAAAATAAATGGATTTTTTTTTCTAATTTTTTATGATAGTTGCGATCAGGGCCGGTCCTGGGGTCCAAGCTCCCCCCCCCTCTATTATTTTAACGGTTCTCACAGTCTATCATTAAAATTATGTAAACATTTACAGTAATTTTTTAAAATACCTTTGAATATAATTTCGAATTGATATCGTAAGAGCCAAATTGTATGTATTAATCTTTACTTTCCCATCGTGTATCAGATTATTTGTTTAAAGTTAAATTTTTTATCGTATTTTAAAAATGTTGAAAGATTAGTATTTTTTTAAAATTTTTTTTGAATGATATTGGAAAAAAACTATATTGCAAATTTTATATCCGAATCTCATTCTGGCGCCCCCTAAGACGTGCGTCTACATTTTTCGCATGCATCGCATTCAATATAGGACCCGCCCTAGTTGCGATTATACAGGGTGTCAGCGGACCTTGATGACAAGCCGAAAAAAGTTCATAGTATTGACCTTAACCGTTCTGAAAAAAAAAATCTCACGTTGTTTGGAAATTATTTCATCATAGCTCTAGGTTGTACTTAAAAGCTTATGATTTCTAAACAACAATTCATTTTTTTTTTTTAATTTTTTCCAGGATAGTTAAGGTCAATACTACAACCCCGTTTCGGCTTGACGTCAAGGTATAAGACACTCTGTATGTTATATATTTTTCTTTAAAAACTGTGAAAATACTGTTAAAAATGTTTTATTAAATTTTTAATGGAATAAAATTATATAAAACTAAGTTTGCAATTAACAATATTCGAAATTTTGTCAAAAATAGCTCATATTATAATTTTACATTTAACAACGAATACATTATTTAAGATTTATCAAATATTTCTTATATTTCACACACTGGCACAAATTACAATTAAAAGTCTGAATTGAATCTTTATAGATTTTTCACACATAAAAATCGACGATCTATGAAATCGATTTTATTTAAAATAAAATGATCTAATTAGCGAATTAGATTTTTACTATTAGTTAAAAATAATAACTTTTTGTAAAATGGTGTAAATGTATGTAAATAACAAAAATTGTTAATTGTCCAATACATATATTTGGCTCTATGGAAAATTACTCATGTGCGTTTTCACTCTCAATTTTGCTCATACTTCTTATTATGGCAAGACGTGTATGTTATTAATGTCTAATGAATTAAACAATAGTTATTTGTTGCTCTTGTTGTTAATTAATGCAATTTCGTTTATAATTAATACAGGCCTTCCCGATTATTATGGAATACTAATATCTCGTCAATTCCTACTTACCGATATAAAAAGTCACATAAAATTTAATTATTATTTATTAAATTATTATTCAAGAAATTATGCAACGTTTAACAAATTTATAAAGTATATTTCATTAAAATTAAACCTTGCTTTTCCGCTAGTAAAGTTTAAAACTTTGATGAATCATAACATTCTGTTTGAGAATTTCATATTTTATATGGAAACAGTAGTCACATTTATTTTATGATCTAAAATAAAACAAATTTTTAATGAATTGTGTAAATAAGCAAATTCTAGTTTTCATAACAAACAAGAATCGATGTTATCACTTATAACAACGGAAATAACATTGATTATTGAAGTACATTAATAGTAACATAAAAAAAGTTTATAATAAACCATCATGTATTTTTTTGCGAATGAAGCTTTAGCATAATTTCTGATATTGTTATTGATTCTAACGTTTCAAGAGCTTTTTTCTTTAAATAAAGCCGATTGCGATTTTGCTTTCAAATTCTTCTTTCAATATTCCATCAATTTCCTGAAAAAGTAATCTTCTGTTAAAGCGTAAAAATTGTGATATATCTGAGTATATTAATTTCGATATTATTAGGCAATATTTTGCTAAAAAACTGTTAGCAAGTCGTATTAAATGTATTTTATCATTCGACAGTTTTGATCACAATACTCATTATTATTGTTTCTTTACACTCGTATCAGCATTCGGACTTACTTCTTCTCAATTAGTTTGTGCTACGTTTTATTTAAATTAAGAAATAGATATATAATTTGCAGTTGTATACATGAAACGTTTTTAGTCATATTTCAAATCTTTATTTTAAACCAGAATATTATTCTTATTATATTCTATATATATTATTGCGTATATACGAATATACGTGTATGTATATTAATATTAGTAAATGTAATGTAAGTTTATATCGTAATATTTATGATGTAAATATAAATTCATAGCACTTTTTTTCAAGCAAAATGGGCTGATGAGTTTGGAGTAGTGCTGATAGCACTCCCTTGAACTAATTTGAAACAAGACAGATGGAAAACAGACAAACTGGAGGACTAGGACCAGAAAAAGCGTGTTATCGATGAATATTTGTTAGAGAAAATAAAATACGGAGAATGAAATGCTGAGACACAGGACACCTGACAATTGTTGTCACCAAAGTTTGGGAAGTAAAATGTACTAAAGCGAACTATAAACAGGGAAATGCATCAGAGTGAACTGTAAACAGGTGAACAATTTAGTGAACTCACACCAAGTCTTCGGACAGAGTGCAAATAATAATAATAATAATAATATATATATATATATATATATATATATATATATATATAGGGTATACCAGACTTTAACGGGGCACAAGCCGAAACGTGTTAGTATTGACCTTAAATGTCCTGAAAAAAAAGGAAAATAATATCTCACGTTTTTTGGAATTTATGAGCTTTTAAGTGCAATCTAGAGCTTTGGTGAAATTATGACAATTTTCGATTACTATGGTTAACTTTATTTTATTCATCTAAACTTTTCTACGATCACGATGAAAGAAAATATCACAATTGCCCCAAGCATTTCAAGAAATAAGACTTTTTGTTGAACTATGAATTTTTTTTTAAAAATAAGTCGACTTTGAGAGGCCCACCTTAAAAAATGTACAAAAAGGTGTTGGCAAGTTTCATTGGCGCATTTAATCAGAATTGTAAAATGGTAAAACACCGCCGAAAACTTCAAAAAATTCGAGTGAAAAAATAAAAACCTAAAAATGGTATGAATTTTGCTGGTATTCAAATTCAGTTCACATGTTTCTTTCTCGCACGAAGAACTCTCTCTTGTTAATTTGAACTAATTCAAAGCAAAAAATCATGCCATTTTTAGATTTTTATTTTTGTACTCGAAATTTTTCAATAATAAAATTATCAAGTATTTTACCATTTTACAATCCTGAATGAACGCGCTAACTTTTGATGAAATTTGCCAACACACTTCAGTACATTTTATATAAAGGAGGGCTTCTCAAAGTCGAACAATTTAAAAAAAAAATAAGTTCATAGTTTAACTAAAAGTTTTGATTTTGAAAACTTGAGGCAATTGTGTTATTGTTTTTTATTGTGATTCTAGAAATGTTATTCGTGATTACGGTTCCAAAGTTTAAACGAACAAATTTAGTAAAAAATATCTCTAATAACCGAAAAATGGTGATTTTACCAAAGCTCATAATTTCTGAACTTCGATAGATATTTTTTTTTTTCAATTTTTTTTCAGGCCGATTAAGGTCAATACTATCACCCTGTTTCGGCTTGACGTTAAGATCTGGGACATCCTGTGTATATGTGTGTCTTTTAGTCAAATCATTAAAATAAAATACGATAAGTAATGAATTGTTCGTTTTGTACATTTTGACACTGTATGTGTATCGTAAATCAGCAAGTTGATACTAGGAAAAATCTAAAAGAAATAAACATTGTTTTGTAATAAAACAAAATTAACACCAAAATTTCATTTAAAATTAAAATGTAAACAATTTTATAAAGTGATATAGTATGTTACACTATTTTTCAAACAAAAGTCAAACATTGAATTAAGCTGAACTTGCTGAATGACAAGGTGTGACGTACAAAATAAATAGTTCAAGTATTTATCGTTTTTTATTTTGACAATTTGGCTGAAAAAATCTCTAGAATTATTCCACGATTAACAAAAAATCTATATATACATATACATATATATATATATATATATATATATATATATATATATATATATATATATATGTGTGTGTGTGTCTGTGTGACGAACTTATACAAAACGTGCAATCATTGGACTCACTAAAAATATTATTGAATATTCAAGAGGTAGATTCTATGTATTATTCTTATGTAATATGTTCTTGCATGTAATGGCGTATCAAAAATATATAGAAATGTATAGAGAAGCGATGAATAATACACGAATAAGTCATAAAAAGTATGAATTCATATCATATATATCGTATCATAGTTTCATGTTAAAGATTTTATTTGAACTATACATAAGCGATATTTCGAGCGAAAGTAAGATTATTGCATTTTGAATCAATTTAAAAAGTTACCAATGATAAATTGAACAATATTTCACATCCAATACTTTGGTCACATAAAAATTGCACATTTTCCCGTTAACTAAAACCCGTTGGTTTAATAATAGTTTTTCTCATTTTACTTATCATAATTTTTGTCTTTGGAACAAACAGTTCTGCTTTGTTTAATTTTTATTAAAATACAATAAATTATATAAAATCAATAAAAAATAAAAAATACTAAATGATTTTGAAGACCTACTGTTAACAGTCTATAAGATAATCATGATAAGTTTTATAGATACTCATTTCATTGGTGTTTTCTCATAACGTTTTTTTTTCAATTTCAATTCAATAGAACATCTATTGTTTTTTGTGAAGGTGCATTACATCTAACCATGCTAATAAAAAGTTGTTTTCAACGGGTATTAAATAAAAAATAATCAAGAAATAAATTACTTATTTCTTGGTACAAGGTTATTTGTGTTTATTTTTTGTGGATTTTCCTGATTTATTTAAAATAATATTATTGCCTGTTACATAATATTCAAGACAAATATACATTATGATAAATGAAGATACTTAATGATTCGTGAAAAAAAGTCCATATAGTGTACAATATATTCAAGATAATTTATAAAAACTAGTGGTGTGTGACATTGCGTCTTAAGGTAAATTGCTGGAACTTTCCGTATTGTGAACAAATGTTAGAAGAGCTAGTGGGGGTGCATGGCATTGTGCCTTAGGCAAATTGCTCGAACTTCCCGTACCGTTATTGAAAATTTTGGTACGCAATCCAAAAAAAAAAA